GTCGACGACCTTGAGCACGCGCGTCGGTCCGTCAGCGGTGACGGCTACCAGAAGGTTCTTGCGGCCATGTCCACCGGTCTGTGAAGCCACCACTGACACGACCCGGGACGTGCCCACCTAGGGGGTGGAGCCACAGCCGCGAGTGGGCCGCACACAGCGGCAGAAGAGGTGAAGGGAAGGGAAATGAAGGGAGCGAGTGCGGGACGATTGACTGATTAGGGGCTGGGAGGCCCCTGCCTGGCAACACACGCCGGACGGAAACCATGGGGGAGGTTCTGAGAGGTGCACTGTCGGCGCCAACCTAGGATTAGATTTGCCGGAAAGCGGGAAGCGGTGCGGCACGATTAGGGGCGCCGTACGGACGGCTGGTAGACTGAGAGTAAGGCCCTAGGCGGCGGCTTCATCCCACTGCCCAGCCCCACCTCAGCCCCACTTCATCAGAATAGTGGGGGTTGGACAATCCTCCTCAAAGATGGATGATGTCACCTTTGAGGAGGACAAGGTGACATCATCCCTTGTCCTTCTCAAGGATCCCCCTGAAAGATCTCCACAATCACGAACACGCAACAGGAGCCCGCTTTTGGGTCCAGGCGACAGCGATATGGCGGTGTCAGTGGCTGCGCGACAGTGCTGAATTAGTACCTCGCTGGTACCATCAACACATCAGCACATCAACACATCAGCACATCAGCACATCAACACATCAACACATCAACACATCTACACATCTACACATCTACACATCAACACATCAACACATCAACACATCAACACTCTACACATCAACACATCAACACATCAGCACATCAGCACATCAGCACATCAACACATCTACACTCTACACATCAACACATCAACACATCAGCACATCAGCACATCAGCACATCAGCACATCAACACATCAGCACATCAGCACATCAGCACATCAGCACATCAGCACATCAACACATCTACACATCAACACATCTACACATCTACACATCTACACATCAACACATCAACACATCAACAACACAACTACACACGGGGACCCCAGGCGCCTACCCGCGGGAACCGGCCTTGTCCCCCCACCTTACTCCTCCCCTCCCCCTCCCCCTCCACCCTCCACCCTCCACCCCCCCTCTGACAGGGCCCACCTTCTCAAGCTCGTACTCCCCGAGGCGGCGCCGGCCGGGCAAGGATACCAAAACACGCTGCGGCGCCGTGTGCTCGTCCCACGTGTACGGCAGGCAGGCGTACGGTCGGATGACATCCTCCTGGTCCAGGCAGCCCACTTGCTGTACGTGCAGCACCTCACCCGAGCAGTTGTCGATCCTGCTTAGGAGGGTCCATATTTGTACCTTTTTGCTGCGATGCACCTTTAGATTATCTAGGCAGCACCAAAAAACCTTTTAGGTCTCTGTAAAGCATTTGCATCAACTCCCCCGGTTAACACCTTTCATAAGCAGCACTTTACATGCTTAGTGATCTTTGGTTTTGGAGGGCCAGGAAGGAGATCAACAGCGGGCGAAAGAGGTATGGCAGTGGTAAGGGAGTCCAAAGGAAAATATATCCGAGCGCTGTCTTATCTTTTCACCGCAAGCCATCGCCGCACATCAAGCGCCCATCGTGCCCTATAGAGCAGCCTTGCAAGCAGCCGCCGCCGCACATCAAGCGCACATCTTGCCCTATCCGAACGCCGGTGCCATATCAGCAGCCAGCAGCTCCACTCTCAAGGGCTCTCGTGACACCAGAAGACGGTAAGATGGTGTTCTCGTACTACAGCACAGCCCCGTACACAGCCTCTGTTCGTACCTGTACGGCGCGAAATCATCGTGGTGGTGGCTCAGGCTAAGCAACGTGGTGCCCGCGGCGCTCAGGCTCACATCCAGCCGCACCAGCTGCGTCTCCGCCCGGTTGCGGTGCCGAATCTGAAATGGCGAAATCAGCGAAACAGGGTTGAGGTAGAGCAGAAGAAGGGAAAACAGTGGGGCGAGGGCGGCACATATCCGGCGGGTGGGCCTTACGGAGCGCAACAGAGGACCAGCAGCAGCAGCAGCAGCAGCAGCAGCCTATAAGCGCACAACGGCCCCCCTCCCCCTCTCCCTGCCCTACTCAGCGCGGCCCATTCCCATTCCACTGGTGTCCCACGTGTTCGAGGGGGAGGCCCATGGGTTGCACCACAGCCCGCCGCTGCATCGGCAGCTGGGCAGCTAAGCGCTCGCAACGACTGAACATCTACTACCCTTACCTTTCCAAGCTAGGGGCAGGTAGGAGACGGCGGACATACGGCGACTAAGTACAAGTACGAGGCAGACGTACAAAGATCAGAAACCGCACACGGGCTTTCCTACAAGTCTCCACAAAACCACAAGATGCATAACTCGGAGAAGACATTCTCAAACCCTAAGCAACCCCTCCGGCTCCGGCCCACACCGCCGCCGCTACGGCTGCTTGAGGCCCACCTTGAGGAGAAAGTCGCCCGGCGTCACGGCATCCAGCGCCACCCCACCCGACCAGGTCCATCCGGGATTCTGAATCCGGATCTGAAGCTTGAGGGGCAGGCCGATGTGCGCCCAGTGCACCGGCCGGCGCTCGCCGGGGCCCAAGGAGGAGGCGTGGGAGGTGCCTGTGGAAGGGGGTTTGGGGGTGGGGCATGGACACACAACGTGTGTGTGTGTGTGAGGGGGTGTCCAAGGCAGCCATGCACGGGAGGGCAGGAGGGCGGGAAGGGGGGAGGGTGGCCAGGTGGTTTTTTTTTATGGAGGTTGTTGGCAAAGCCGCATTGTATATTCCTCTCCCATCCCCCCCCGGGGGGGACGGACTCAGATCAGACGTGACGGCGCGCAGCAGCTGTACGACAAAGTGGGGGCCGTTTGTGGAGCTTTCATGTGACGAGTCCTAGGGCGAGGTGCCGGCTGCCGGCAGCTGGTGGGCGTAGCGGGGTGCGCGACCACGTATAGGGATAACGAAGAAGTCGCGTGTTACAGGGGAATCATCTGTTTTGGTGTAGATGTAAATTTATATAATCAATTACATTTCTTTAACATTTATAATTTGACATTTTATAATCTTATTTTATATATTTTCTCCATATATGGAAATACTTGTAGCACCATTTGCAAGCGCCTGGAGCACCTGTAGAAAATTGCTTCGCCGGTGCCGTACTGTACCTTGCTGCCGTACTTGCACTGCGGCAGAGAGGCCATTGTGTACTACGTAACGGGGACGGAGGTGCAACGCCACGGACCGCACGCCGCCGCCGCTGCCGCCGCCGCTGCCGCCGGCCCCAGTCCCCGCCGTCGCGTGCATCAACCGCGCGACGACGTGGAAGGCGGGTTTGCCGGGGCCACTGCCGCCGCCGCCGCTGGTGCCCTTCCCACCGGCCCCCACCGCCGCCGCCGCCGCCGTTGCTGCTGCTGCTGCCGCCGCGCCAGCGGGGGAAATGCCGCCGTCGCTGTCCGGCAGTGGGCATGGCAGCGTGATGTGCACTGGCGAGCCATCGATTGCCGGCCAGATTGGAGGCGACCAGTCGTTGCTGCTGCTGCCGCCGGGCCAAACGCGGAGCTCAACTTGGCCGATGCCGACGGGCATGCTGCCGTACATGCACGGCTGTAGCCCCTGCGGCCGATAGGCGGCGTCTACGGTGCCAAAGCCGCCTCCACCGCTAGCACCGGCGGCAGAGGTGGACGGCGAATCCGAGTGCCCCGCGCAGGTTGACGATAGACTTCGTGATAACGGCCGGTTCAGCGACAGCTGTAGATGTGCAGCGGCGACGGCGGCGGCGGCGGCGCCGCCGCCGCTAGCGGCTCTGTATGACGACTGCGTGTTGCGTTGCGACCGGCTGGCTCGACTGCTGCTGCAATGTAATGACATGCTGTGCTGGTTGCTGTACTCAATCCTTGCAAACGGCGCGGAGGAGGGCGCCGCCGCAGAGCGCGTCCTGTCGTACCTGACGGCCGTACGGGCAGGGTTCAGGCGGTCCAAGCTGGGATGCCTAACCATAGCGGCTGGCGGCTGGCGGGGATGGGGATGGTGATGGGGATAAGCCGCCGAAGGTGAAGCCCGACCGGCGGCGGCGAAGTCCGCAACGTGGACACCGTAACCAGGGGGTGCTGTCGTACCCGTCGCGCCGCCGCTGCCTCCGTAGTAACTGTGCCGTGGAGATGGCTGCGCCAGCAGACCTGCTAGATGTGCGCCGTATGGGTGTGCGCCGCCACCGTCCAAAATCACGTCACCGCTATCGCCAGCGTCGTCGCCACCTTGGTCTTCTCCATCCGCCAGTGCGGCGAGCAGCCCGGTGCTTCCAAACCCGCTACCGCCGCCACGGACGACGCAGCCGGGGACCCCAGCGCCGGCGCTACGTGCCGAGGAGGCCGCGGTGTGGCCACCAATGGAGCAGTTCGAACGTGCGCTGCTGCTGGAGCGCGCGGTGAAGGCAACAGCGGCGGCGGCAGCGGCGGAGCCGCCCATGGCATCCCTTGCAATGGCCGCGATGTCGCCATGAACGCCGTACGGCTGCATTCCACGGCCGGCGCCCGCCGCAGCAGCAATAAACAGTCCCGCTGCCGCCTGCAGCGCCGCAAGCTGGGACGTACAGGGCCCAGCCGCCGCTGCCAGGGTCGGCGCACCGCAGAGGGATACGCAGGCGGGTACCCAGGCCGTCTCGCCGGTGTCGGAGCACTCCGGCGCCAAACCCGGCGACGGGGCACCCGGCGCGGCGCACCCGGTGCCCGGTGGCGCGTTGGGCTCTGCGACGCTGCCTCTGACGACCTGGGCATGCTGGCCTGGCGGTATCACCAGCCGCGCCGTGGGCCGCAGCTGCACAGGCAGGCCAGTGCAGTTGTAAACCCAGACGGGACAGCTCAGCTCCAGCTGAACCTGACCCGTGGGTCGGTGTCGCCACGTGCGGAGAACCAGCAGCAGATCCTGCAGGCCCGCCTGCGTCGGCCTTACCATTAGTGCCCGCTCGCAGTACGGCATTAACCCCCCGGCGCTGCCGCCGTCGCCGGCCCCAGGCAATGGCTCGAGGCCGATATGCAACGGCTCAAAGCCGCCGCCGCCGTCGCCGCCGTCGTGGTCGTGGTCGTGCTCATTCTCACCGGGCCTGCCGTACACCGGCTGGGCGCTGCTCCACGCATATCCCGCCGGCCGGCAGGCAACGCTGACCAGCCTGTGAGCAGGGAAGGTATGCAGATGCAGCGACGACAGCGCGTGGAGGGACTCACGCAGCTCGGGTGCAGGCAGGGCGCAGGCGGTAGGCGCGGCGGCGGCAACGGCGCCGCCGCCGAGGCCGCTGTAGGCATGCAACGCGAAGCGTGCTGGCACCGGCAGGTCGTTCCGCAACACCACCGGGGCTCTCAGCACGAGCTCCCATTCAAGCCGTCGTGAAGCAGCGCCGCCATCGCCGCCGCCGCCGCGGCCGCGGCCGGCACCTGATGCCGCAGGCGCTAGGTGGACGATCAAGTGGCACATCCGCCCCTCCTCTACGGAGATGGCGGCGGCGGAGGCCGGGACGGAGGATTTATGAACCTTTTCAAGCATTGGCATGGCGGAGGCCGCATCGCTCGTCGGCAATCTGTATGTCTTCGTTGTCGGCAGCGTGCAGTACAACCGCCGCGCGACTCCCACGCGGCCCGCGGCAGCGGCGCCGCTGGCGGCGGCACCGTCCAGGCCTTGCGCCACCGCGTCGAACAGCATGGAAGTCAGGTCAATCGGGTTACTCCAGTCACTCCAGGGGGAGGCGTTCTGGACCTTGGCGCCGCGGAAGGTGGCACCAAGCCGTTTCAATGGCGCGTGCCGCTCCGCGGTTTCGGCGGCGGCGGGGCCGCCGCCGCAGCTCCGGAACCGCGTTGCGGGTTCATCGCCAAAAGCGACGCCTCCCGCTGTTGAGACGACGAGACCCTCCTCGACGACGGGGATGTTGCCGCTGGCAAACGCTGGCGGCGGTGCGGTGCGTACGGCAAGCACCGCGGGGCTCTGCTGCAATAGGCCAGTTGATAGCCAGGTGCTGCCACCCGGAGGCAACGTGTGCTGAAGCACCTGGCCGCCGCCGCCGCCGCCGCCGCTGCCGCCGGCAGAGGCCTCCGCCACCACAGCCCAGTCAGATACAGACAGCCACAGACCGCTCTCGTTGCGCAGTCGCACGTTGGAGCGCAACTCCAGCCGTCTACTGCACAGGTGGTGCGGCCGGATGTCACACACTAGCCTTAGCCCTGGCGGCGGCGACGCCACCGTCCCCGCCAGCCTGGCGGCAGCGGGTGGGAGTGAGAAGTAGTACCGGGACGACGGCGACGCGTTGCACGAGATGGGACCCAGCCATGTACTGCCGCCGTACAATCGAAAGTACAGTATCCTACCTCCGCCTCCGCCTCCGCTGGTGTCGTTGCCGCCTCCGCCTCCGCCGTCGCCGTCGCCGTCGCCAGCCCTTGCCAGTCTGCTCAGCTCACCGCTGAAGCTCACGGAAGCGGCGGGAGCGCCCTCCGAGCACCTGGTGGTGCGCAGGTGTGATGATGAGAGCGCCATGTTGTAATCCGTGTCTTCGGCATGGCCGCTGCCGTCTGCCGCTAGCATTTCCATTTTACCATCTTGCGGACTGCACTGCTGAAACTTGCCGTTAATCTTGGCGCTGCTGCTGCTAGGATGGTGGTGGTGATGGTGGTGATGGAAGCCCTGGTGATCGTGGTGGTGGTGGAGGTGGTGGGGAAGGCCCGCCACGTGACGACCCGCAAAGCGGCGGCCCGCATGCCGCAACGAGTCCACCACTACCAGAGACCCATGGGTCACCACACCATCCACAGCGCCCAGCGCCCCCACAGCCGCCAGGAACGACGCGCGCGGCCGCCGCTGCTCCAGCGTCACGAAGCTGACGGGCTGGCCCAGATGGTTCTGGAGCCACAGGCGCGGCAGCGCATCGGGCCTGGGCAGCTGCCCTAGGTGACGCAAGGCCGTGGCAGCTGGGTCACGGACCCATGGGTCACTTGGCACGTGCGGCCCACCGTCGCCAACCCGGCCGGCGATCGTCAACGGCGGCTCTGCAACCCCATGGCGGCCCAGTGGTGGCTCCTGTCCGACTTCCGGAACGACATTTTTAGGGGATGCGGCCGGCGATGCCGACCTCCAGCCGGGGTGGGTAGCGGCTGTTGGGACGGCGCCGGCGGTGGATACGGTGCTGGGGTCGGTCATGGCACCTTGGAGCTCTTCCGCCAGGTGCAACGCAGCCAGCGCTGCGGGGATCAGTCCCGGGGAGAGAGTTGCCTCGAGCAGGGTGTCGGTGGTGATGCTGATGGAGTGTCGCGGCGGTGGCGGAGCCGGCGACGACAGCGCTGCAGATGACGGTGGTGCCCCGGCGGCAGGTCGTGGGGGATACCGAGGCGCCGCGGCGGCAGGTTGTCGGGCCATGTACAACACCTGGGTGCAGAAAATAAAGCAAGAAAGGAAAAACACATGTATGTATGTGACACGGGCGGAGGGCAAAACGCCGAGTGAGACTGCGCGGTTGCGGAGTGCGGAGGAAATGAGTAGCAGTGACGGGTAAGCTGCGCCCACGCTGCTGCGCGCGGCACATTGAGGCTGTTTCGGTGCTAAAGCACGGAGGCTGGTGCTGGTGCTGGTGCTGGTGCTGGTGCTGGTGCTGGTGCTGGTGCTGCTGTTGCGTGAGCAGCGCGCCCCTCTCCTCATCCATGAACCCGTCAGGAGGATCTTCGCCGGCACCACTTAGACTGGATTTGGAGTTTTTCCTTTCCTTTCTCATTCTGTTGTGACCACGAGTCCACTTGATCTGTTCGCGTATCAAACCGGTTAAGATGAACTAAAGGGGATGAACTAAGGGTCAAGTAGGGGGGTACGTCCCCCCCTACTTGATAAACCCAAGGGGTGTCATCCCTTTGGGCTCCCCTTTGGTAGAGAGCAGTAGAGGTAAGCGGCGGGTCAGCTGGTGATGGTGGGTCAGCTAGCCACGCGGCACATCGTCGGAAAGAAGAACCAACCAGACACCGTTCTCCATCGGCCTTCCGCACGACCTCTTCCACCAGGCTTAGGGACACACGCCCTTTGAGCGGGAACCCACAAAAGGCGTGTGTACAGCCGTACCTGCAAGCTCCACGGCTCCAATACAGGCTCCCATCCCAGCTTATCCAGGTTGTAGACATCCAGCTGCAAACGTGCATCCAGTACCACATGTAGTGAGGAAACCCACAACGGTGGCGGCGGCCGGGCGGTGGCGACGGTGCTGCCGCCAGCGCTGCCGTCAGGCAAGCTCAGGCCGCCGCGGCCGTGGTGGCGGCGGTTGCTGTTCCGCCGGTGCAGCAGGCCGAATGTGGGGCCGCCACTGCCGCCGCCGCCGCCACCGCCGCCTGTTGTCCCCGACGCCGCGGCTGCGCCCGCCGCGGCTCGGTGTCGTACATACGCAGGCTGTGTTGTGGTGGCGAAGCGCACGTTGGCATTGTCGTTCTCAGCTTTCTTTGGGATGAACGACCGCATGAACGGTGTTGGCAGGCTGCCATTGTCAGGGGCCACCGCCGCCGCCGCCGCCGCAGTGTCCGCGTTGACGTCCGCGTCTCCGTCGCTAGCGGCATGACCACCAGCGGCAGCGGCGGCTGCGTCGCCCAGCGTACTGAGCTTCAGCTGGATCTCAAGAGGAGCTACGGCCGCCTCGAACAAGGGCACGTCATAACCCTGGCCATGGGTCGGGTGCGGCGGGGCATCATTCCCTTGTAAAAACGTCCCTGGGAGCTCGGGACCTCGCAGTGTTACACCCCTACCTCTACAAAGCACACGCCCACGCGCCGCTCACACCATATCATCTATCATGCCCCTGTAGCCCGTAACGCTGCATAGGCCTGGCGGCGCTGCGGCACCCAGCCGCCGGCCTCAGGCCGCCCCCTCTACTCTAGCCCCCCTCCCCCGGGCCTCTCCCCCACGGCCCTCTCATCCCCATCTGATACATCCTCATCCTCATCAACACCATCAACACACGCCGCCGCGCATCATCATGATGGGAGGCAGAGGGCCCCCTACCTCAGGCACTGAAGACGGCACAACGCGGGGACCCCACTCCCCCCATTAGACCTAGGTACGATTACGGCAGTGACGTCCAGAACCCGCCTAGGATCCAGGGCCTTGTGCCGCCACTCATGGTGCCGTACCTGCGTGTCCGTGTAGACCACTGCAGCCGCCTTGCCCACCCGCAGTGTCAGGCAGCAAAGGGGCAGCCACGCGGGCCACAGGGGCACCCCCAGCCAATCGCCCAGAGCTGCGCCGCCTGCGCCGCCTGCCCCGGTCGCATCTCCGCTGCCCTTAGACTCTGACCTCCCTGCCACAGCCCTTCCAGCCCGCTGCTTGCTCGTATGGCGCCTTGAGTAGTGGTGTGGGACATCGTAATGGTAGTGGTAAAGAAGGTCCGGTCCGCCGGACCAACCCTCGGCGCCGTCGCGATCTTCTTCGTCGGCGTCATGCGGCCACATGCCGTACTCGAGCTCATGTGGCGCCGTACCACTGGCGGTCGCTGCGCCGAGGTCGCCGGCGGCTGCGCTGGCTGCGCCGGAAGCCCGGTGAGCGCCAGCAGGGGACCAGGGCGGGACTCCAAGCCTGGCGGCGGCGGCGGCGGCGGCGGCAGTTGCAGCAATGTCCGGAGGGGAGCCCACCAGGCGCAGCGTCTGCTCGTCCAATATGCCAGGCGCAAACACGTCCCCGTCGCCGTCGCCGTTGCCGTTGGCCTCGGAGTCGGAACCCTCAAGCACGTGTCGACGATTCGTCACCGCGGCGGCATGCTCCCAGCTGTCCAGAGTGTCGTACACAAGGCCCAACAACAACAGTACTGCGTGCCGTGCGGCATACAGGGAGGCGTGCTGCAGCGATGCTTCTAGGAGTGCATGGACCACGATGTCGTCGACGCCGGTGGCGGCACCGCCGTTGCCATCTAGCACGTCGCCGTCAGTGGTTTGCCGCTGCTGGCGCGCGCTGCCGGCGGCGGCGGCATCCGACCCACTGTCGTATCCTGCACCAGCCGTCGAGAGGCCCTCACCTAAAGCTGAGGACATGCCTGGTGCTGCCGCTGCCGCCGCCGCTGCCGACAACCTGGGCGGTACTGCTGGCGGCGCTGCCCCAACAGACAGATGCTTCACGGGCTGAGATACGCCGCCTGGGTTCATTAAGGGGCCACCCGCCACCGCATGCGGGTCGCCATCGGTGCTGTCACCGACCCAGAGCTTATTAGAGGGAACCGCCGTCGCCGTCGCCGTCGCCGCGGCACTTACTGCGGAGATCGTTGCGGCCAGCGCTTTTCCGCCAGCCTTGCCAACAGCCGTCTGAATGTGCAGCGAACCCGCGCCCTGTACTTCGTCAACGGCCCCCGGTGCGCTTCCCGAAGAAGCGCGGCGCAGGTGCGGCACCGCGGCGCACGACAAGCCCTCCAGCAGCGCCAGGCGCCAGGCCCCGACGACCTCGTGCCAGGTACCGACCCGTGGGTCATGCTCCAGCACCAGCGCCCCCGTTGACACCGAAACCTCCGGCAAGACCAGCGTCAATCGGTCCATGCAACCGCCAGCGGCTGCTTCCAAGCTCGCGCCCATCATCAGCTCCAGCCGCACGCAACGCTGCTGCTGCATCGCTGCCGTCGCCGTTGCGGGATAGAGCTGAGGGGCCCGTGACTGCGGGCCGTCAGAATCCTGCCCATCGGGGCCCCGGCAAGCCACCCTACCTGCTCGGCCTCCAAACGCCAACTCCCGGGCCGAGTACGCTACCATTGACATATCCTGCACCGACACACTGGCAGTCACCGGCAGGTCGAGCAAAAGCCGTAGCATGCCATCCCCATCAGCACTGGCGGCAGCTCCGCCGCCCCCACCGCCGCTGCCGTCGCACTCGGCGGCGGCCTCTCGGCTGCCGCCGCTGGCGCCCAATACCGGAACCCGTGTCACAACCGCCGCCAGGCCGCGGGATGACACCGCCGCCGCCGCAGCTGTAGTTGTTGCCGCGGCTGCTGCTGCCGCGGCTGCGTGGCCGGCTACAGAACGTGCGCCGCCGCCTGCAGCGCTCGTGAGTTCCTGACTCGTGGCATTGACTGGGCGGGAGCCCGGCAGATCACGCGCTGGAGCTGCTGAGCGGACTCCAACAGAGGACCCAGGCCTTCCCAGCCGTCCGGACCCCCGCCGCCCCTGCTCCAGTGCAACCAGCTGCTGCTGTCGTGCCCGTGCGCGCAGCTGGTTCGCGGCGGAAGTGCTCCAGTGCTGCCCGCATGCCGCCAGGCTGTCTTGCAGCCGATGCCACTGAGTTAAAGACACGAGCGCATGTACCCCGCTGACGTCAAGGTCAAAGTGAAGCCGGCCTGATCCCGCGGCAGGTGCGTCGCCGCCGCCAGCGTGGCCTCGATTGGCGCCGTACGACGCCGCGTTGTCGTCATTGTCGTCGTCGGCGTCGGCGTTGCCGTCACCATATCCAGTAGTGGCGGGGCTAGGGAATGCGTCCTGCCGGCCATCCGGTCCAACCCCGGCCTCCACAGCACCTCCGGGAGGTGTACCATGGTGTTGTGGACTGCCGCGGCGCCTGGGGCTTCCGAGGCCTTCAGCCAGGACTGCAGGGGGCTGCAGAGCAGCGCGGTGACGGACGAAGTTCGACAGCTGAATTCGTACGAGCACCGTGGAAATCGGTGAGGCGGCCGCATCGGGCACGTGGCTCCATGCCGCGCCTGCGGGATCGTCGACAGTTGCAGTTGCAGCGGGGACGGCGGCAGCGGAGGCAGAAGCTAGGGGCCCTGGGTTTGTACGGCACGTCGCGCCGGCGGACAACAGAACGACAGCCGGTCCAGACGGCGAGGCGATAGTGGTGTCAGCGGCGGCGGCGGCCGAGGCCCCTGCGCCGCCGCCGCCGAAACAAGCATCGGCGGCACGGCCGGCACCGTCCTCGCCAACAGGCGGCTGCGGCTGCGGCTGCGCTGGTTCGCACCAAGCCACGGGATCTGAGGGAACATGCGCCGATGGCAAAGTGCTTAGCTGGACGATGCTCTTGCATGACGAGAGGTGCGCGCGGAGGGCGGTGCCGCGGCGGCCGCTGCCGGGATCCGATGCCGCAGCGGAACCCGTCCCAGTCCCACAGGGACAGGGCCACAGCTCCTCCTCGCGCTGATGCACGTCGCCATCCAAACCGTCAAGGTGGAGCTCCTCCTCTGTATCCGCTTCCACCTCCATCTCCACCTCCGCCTCCACCTCCAAATCGTCAAGCACGCTGCTGCCACCCTCGATCGAGTAGAACTCGGCATCCGCGTCTGCGCCGCCACCACCGCCGCTGTCCGTGTGCTGTTGCAGGCCGCCGCCGCCGCCGCGGGGAAACGAACCGAGTGCTGAACCCGGCACCAGTGCAGCAGCAGCGGCAGCGGCAGCAGGAGACCGGGGCACCGTTAGAGAGCGCGGCGGTACGGCGGCCGCCGGGGCGAACCCGCTGCCACGGGACGGCAGCGGCCATGCGGGCGAGACCAGCGGCGGCGCCGCAGACCTGAAAAACTGGGCGTCGGCCTTTGCGGCGTCGAAGGCCGCCGGCCCCGCCGCCGCTGCTGCTGTTGCCGCCGCTGCCGCTGTGCGGCGCAGCGTTGATTCCGCATATGACGACAGCTCCAGCATAATGGCAAGTGAACCGGCATGAATTTTGGAGCTCGCGACCGCTGCGGCATCGTCGTCGCCGCCGCCGCCGCCGCGGACCACTCCCTGCATAACCATCCTAGGCGCTGGGTGTAACCGCGATCCCACGCTGCTCAGTGTGAGTTCGCGCCATGCCAGGCTGCTCTCCACGTCAACATCCGTACGATCGTACGACAGTCGTACATCCCGCCAATACAGCACCGTGGCCTCCTCGCTCAAGGTATCACTCCCCAGCAGCGCCGTCAGGAAGCCAAGCTTGACCGAAACCAGCATGTACGGCAGGCTCGCCGCAAGGACCCTGCTCGGCTCCACCGCCGCCACCGCTGCCGCCACCGACGCTGCCGGCTCATGCACTGGCCGCCGCTGCGGCGACGGCGCTGCTCCTGATCGTCGTGACTCTCGCCTGACGGCCGCCGTACCAAGCTCTGGCGACGCCGCCGCACGCGGCTGCTGCTGCTGCGATCGAGACGACTGACCCGTCGGCACTTCACTGAAACCGTGCTCCTGACCTTGCTGCGCCTCTTTGGGCGCCAGCTCCCCCATCAGTGCGCAGAGAACTCCCGATTGCTGTGGCTGAAAATTCGCTTCAACTCGTCCCAAGTCCACGGATAACCATGCAGCCACGCCTGCCTCCGTCACCCGCGGCCGCCCATCTACCCCCGCCGCTGCAACCCCGCTGACGCCCAGCCCCACCACGCGCGCCACCTCCCCATGGTCCGCGATGCCCCCCATAGCGTAGTAATCACCCCGCGTGCGCCCGGCTGCTGAGTTCGCCATCGAGGCCAGGGATGCAGCACCGTCGGCGCCGGCTGCAGTCGTGGGGCCGTAGCAGGCGCAGAGCTCCGGCAGTAGCAGCACCGGCGACAGGTAGGCGGAGTCGGGGTTATCGGCAAGGTACACCAGCAGCCTCGTCACGGCCACCCGGTGAGTGGCTGCGATAGATGCCGCCGGCCGGCCGGCATTGTCAGACTCCCTGATCTGCTCCGCCGCTGCCTCAGCAGCACCACCGGAAGACTGGGCACTGCTACAGCTGGATAAGGAGGGCTTTTGCGGCGCTGGGAGGGAGACGTGCAGCGGCTGCAGGCTGTAGCTGACTTTGTCGACGCTAAGGAGGGCGTTGCAGGCGAGGTTCCCCGCGCCCGCGCCGCCGGAGGCAGCGGCAAAGGGCGTCCGGCAGGGCGAGACGGCTAGCACAGCAGAGTTGCGGATATGCACCGCCATTGCGAGAGGCGGCGATGCGGCTGACGGGGCTTCAGCCTCCGCAACCGCCGCGACACAACCGCCGCCGGCCACAGCTTCGCCGATCGCGTGCCCTTCGCTGACGCCGTCCGCCGCCGCGGCGGCGGCAGATCCAGACGGGCCTGACGCCGACGCCAGAGACATCAGCAGGCCCATTCCTACTGCCGCGTCTGATACCACCACCTCCACTCCGCCGATAGCGCCGTCATCCCCTCTCCCTCCCAACTCCATCGTTCTGACCTCGCCGCCTAAACCCGGCGGCTCTGAACCTCCAGTCTGTCGCTGCACATCCGCACCGCCATCTCGTCCACCACTATCATCACCATCACCATCACCATCACCATCACCATCACCATCACCATCACCATCACCATCACCATCACCACGACCACCACCACCACCACCACCACCATCATCACCACCACCACCACCACCACCACCATCATCACCATCGGTAGTTCCAACGCCAGACTCATGCGCATTCCAGCTTTTTACGCGCCCACGTGGTGAATTCCCAAGCCCCTTAGCCACTGACACGTGCTCAGCCGGCTGCCACCAGCCCGCAGCTACTCGCGCCGCCGCTGCTGCAGCCGCGTCAGCAGGCTCCGCCGGCGGCTCCGCGCCCGCCGTCCAGTATCGGACGGCAACCGTTGCGTCATCCGGGCCCGGTCCGTTGGAAAGCAAGAAGTCGCCGGGCTGGTCGGCAGATCCTAGGAGCCGCACTCCGCGAATGGCGCCGCATGCACTCAGCGCTCCGCCAGAGGTCTTCACGGCACTGGCGGTAAGGGAGGCCATCCATAAAGTGCGCGGTAGGGACCAAATGAGGCCCCCCGTCCTGTCGGCGTCGTTGTTGCCGCGACCGCCCGCACCAGCGGCCGCCGCCGCCGTCGCCGGTACGACGTGAACCTCTAAGTCACGGAGCTGCAGCGATACGGTCGACTCAATGGCGGGCCTAGTGCTGCCGCCTCCTCCGCCTCCGCCTCCGCCGCTGCTGTAGGATGCGCAGAGATCCATCATGCTGTCAACACGAACGACAAGCGCCGCCGCTGCGGCTGTGCTCCCGTCGTCCCCGTCGTTAGACCCCACGCACCCGTCCTGCACGTAATTCACTTCAAATGGCTCCACGGAGAGCAAAAGACAGGTGGTGCGCGGCAGGAGTGGCAGCCGCGGGCTTGCACAGCCGCGGATGCCGCCTTCCTGCCGGTCCACAGTCTCACGTTGCGAGTAGGGTTGCTCGCGACCTTGAAGCTCCATCCCGGGTGCCTCCAGCCCGGCGGCAGCGGGGTCGGTGGTACCCGCGAGGGCCCGTGTGCATGGCCGTGTCCTGATGCTGTCCCACTGACGGGGCGCGGTCTCCAGGTTGCTCAGCCCGCTGCCCATGCTTCCCCGGCGGCGACCGTACTGAACAACGACGGAGTCCTCTACGTCGCCGCCAAGGCACATCGCCGCCGCCGTCGTCGCACTCCTGGGAAGCAGCAGCGGCCTGGCTGCGCCAGGCAGCGGTGACGTCGGGGCGCTGCGAGTGTACGACACCTGCACGGACTCCGATCCCGTGGGACCGCTTCCGTCCCGATTCCGACCTTGACTGCCGCCAGCGCCAGCCGCCGCCGCCGCCGCGGGCGGCGCACAGCTTTGTTGGTTATTGACGGTCGCCGTGATTACTCCAGGCGGGAAGTCTACGCTCGCGGTTGACGACAAAGTACCTGCTTCTCCAGCCGCCTCTTCTCCTATTCCGCCTTGCGCTGATGCACCTGGCAGGGCTGCTCTTGCGCCGAGTGGCCCTGGCGGCGGTGGTGATACGGCGGCTGCGGGGCCCGAGGCAGCGTCCAATGCGGGGCTACAGCCCTGGGCTTGGTTCTTGGTAGCCACGGGTGGCTCCGGAACCTGGAGCTGTTCCGCCGCCACTGTTGCCGGGCTGCACGCAACCGCCTCTGCCGCCGGCTGCCGCTGCGGCTGCCACTGCGGCTGTGGCGGGGCAGCGTTCTCAGCATGGGAGTGGTCCAGGCAGTGGGCCAGGCGCTTCAGGTCCAGCACCTGCGGTGAACAGGAAGCATGGCACATAGGCGGGGTTGTACCTATATAGGGCCCTATGCAGATCGACTTGCCGCCCGCGCCATGCCATTAAACCCTATGCGTGCCCTATGTGTGCCCTCACACAGCCCAACTCACACATCCCCCTTTCCCCCCCCCCATTTCCACCCCACCCTTCAACTCTTCAAGGTACAGAGCCCACCTCCGAGGCCTTCACTGTAGTGGACGCACCACTGAGCGACAGCTGCAGCAAAGACGCAGGCGACCCGACCCCCTGCTCTAACCGGCTGCGGCTCAAGTAACCGGCCAGCTGCAGCGCGGGGGGCAACAAAAGCAGCGGCCTGGTCTCCGAACGGGCGACCGAACGCTTAGTCTGCCGCTGCTCATTCAGCTCGCTTGAAGCTCTGGTTAATGGTTCAGCGGCGTGACGCTGCGCGGCGGCAGGCAACGGCAACCTGGAACCAGGCAGCCGGTACGAAACACGTACGGCATGTACGGCAAAGCGCACGTGTTCGTACAGGAAAAGCCGGGCAAGATCCTCCACAGAGCAAGGATCTGGACGCGGCGGAAGGGTGCCGCTGGAACGCCTGTGCCGCCGCGGGGAGCCCGCCGTACCGACGGGGCTGTAAGCTCCCTCCGCCGCCGCCGCCGCCGCCGAAGTAACAACGTCCGCTGCGCCGCCGGCGGCGGTGGTGGCCTCCGCCGGGCCGGCGTCTGAGGTGGAGAAATCATGTACCGGCTCCCGGCCGGCAGCCTCCGCCGCTAGCCGCAACAGGTCGGCTGTTGTACTGCATGGACTTAACCTCCGCTGCATCAGATCCTGCAGGTATTGAACGGTTCCGGAGCCGTAAGCCCCCTCTGCTAACTCCTCGCGCTCTAAAGGTCCCCGTACTAATCCCGAGTTCGTGGCTGGTAGTGCCTCGTCTGATGCCGCCGCCAGCCCCGAGGGGTGTTCACCGGCAGCGCTGCCGTCGACAGCTGGGCCCTCCGTACACTCCGTGATGCGGCCTGTTTGTATGGATGCCGCACGATCCGCTGCTTGCGGCTGCGACGGCGGCGGCGGCATGCCGTTGATCGACGCCAGCTCGATGTCGTACAGTCCGACGGTAAGATGACCTGGCGCCGCCGTTGTCGGCCCTCCGGCAGGAGTGTGTGCGTTGCGGGAGGTGTCGTACGTGACGCCGGAGCCGCGGGTGGACAAGGCCGGCGACGGTTGCTCCAGTGGCATCACCACTTCGAATCCTTCCACCTGCAATTCCCGCGAAGCCGACAATTACCGGCAATTAATGCGAGATATCCGGGACCACACGCGGGCGCTACAGCTATAGCTTCCAATGTACGACTTCACTCGGATCCGCGAAAAACAGAGAAGAGCCGTCGAGCGACCCCGCGCATATGAAAGATCACCAAATCGGCTACAATCCCACAACCAAGCTGCAGAGCCCCGGCTTGGCAGCCCCGGCCCCCGACATGTCCTCGGAACATAGGCCATGCTGCACAGCGCTGCGCTGCGCTGCGCAACTTCCAGCCCCTTCTTTCAGCCCCTCATCCTTACATGCAACCGCAGCTTCTGCGACGACGCGGTACAGCCCAGGTGTTGCAGCATGGCCAACACACGCGCGTCCCGCGACTCGAACCCAGCAATGGCAGTCATGGCGTGGTGCTCCAGGAAGGAGCACGAGTCCACCGCCAGGGCTGCGGCCACCGACGCCAGGCACTGGGCGCGGTACTGCAGTCGCAGCGGCCGTACATGAATATCGACCTGGCCAGCTCCTCCTCCACCAAAGCCTTGGTGTACGGATACAACCGGCGGCCCGCCGTACCACACGTCCCCCTGCGGCGGCGGCGCCGGGGCGGCGGCTTGCGACTGGTAACCCATGGCCCAATGGCCTGCGTCTGAGTCCAAGCTGTCCGTGCTCAAGGAGGCATGCACCCCGGAGGACCGGCTGCCCGTACCGGAGAGCAGCTGACCAAAGGATGCCCAAGACCGGTGGGCTGCGCCGCGCCGCCGGCGGCGCTGACCTGCCTCGCGGGCGGCCGAAGGGCCGCCGGCGGCGGCGCCGCCACCCCCGCCACCGCCGCTGGCGGCGGCGGCAGCAGCACCGCCGCCGGTGTCCATATCATCGGCCTGCGCTAAGATGCATTCTGCGACCCCCGGGTCTGAGCACAGATCATGGGCATGCACTGTGCCAATGGACGCCTGAACCGCGGTTCCGGAGCCATCGGACTCCAGCGCGAGCACAGTTGAGCCCAAGGTCAGGCTCAACAGCGTGGGGCTAGATGCCGGGGGTCGAGTTCCCGACGACCCCCGCCGCGTCCTCGCAGGTGAAGGGACACACGTTGGGGAGGATATCCCAAACCCTGGTGTCGGCGGCGACCCCTCTGCGCTGCATGGCTCTGCTCCGGCACCAGCACCGGCCCCAACGCGGTCGTTGTGGTGGGGGGCAGGGATCGGGCCAGGCCCCCTTATGTCCAGCTTTAACTGCAGTACCCGAAACTGTACGGAGAACGGCATAGAGGAGGCGGCGGCGGCGGAGGAGGAGGAGCCAGTGGTGCCGCCGCCGGGTACTCCGGCACCTTGATGCTGCAGCTGGGCCTGGAAATGCTGTTGCGCGTGTTGGTGATGATGGTGATGATGGTGGTGATGGTGATGATGGTGATGTCGCCCTGCCGATGCTTGAGTCTGGGAGGCCTCCGCCGTCGGCAAGGAAGTTCCCTGGAGTAGTCGATACAGCTCCGCCAGCTCCGCGTCGGTAAACGAGGCTTGCGGCACCGCCGTCGATGCCTTGGCGCCGGCGCCAGCGCCGCCACTGCTGCCGTACGTGAAGAACCCCGACACTCCCGACAGTCCCCACGCCAGCCAGCTCCGGTGCTGCGCGGGCGCGGCGTCAGGATGCTGCTGCCCGCTGGCCGCCGCCACTGCTTCGGAAGTGCCGCCGGCGCTGCCGGAGGCGACAGCGGCAGCCCCCGCCGCGGCAGCGGCGGCGGCACGCTCACGCTCCTGCTCCTCCTCCAGCGTCCATTCCGTGAGCTGCCGAAACGCAAGGATATCAGCGACGGAAAGATACGCTTCCAGACGCTGGAGCTCCAAAAACTCCTCCACTGGGCTTGGCGTTGATGTTCCACCTGTCGTCATGGCCGCTGCCGCCGCTGCCGACCCCGCCGCCGTACCGCAAGTGCCGTTGTTTCCGGGGCCGCCGCCGCCGCCGCCGCTGCTGCCAGCCTGCCGAAGACACTCCAGCTTCCGGCGGTACAGCCTCATGTATTCCCGCCTGTACTGCAAGTAATCCCGGAGCGACCCCGTGCCCCGGCGCTCTCGTATATCATGCAGTACGGCACGTACGGCATACTGCCACACCTGCGACCACCGCACTAACGGGGTGCTGGTGCTGGTGCCGGTGCCGGTGCCAGTTGGGCTAGCTGGTGCATTCAGGGACCCGCTTGCAGATGCTTCCGACACGCGCTCACGGCCCACCCCGGACGGCTGTGGCCCCGCGCCACAGCGAGATGCGCCCGGACTGACCGCGGGTGTTAACGTGCCGGGAGAACGTGGAGACAGCGGCAACAGAGCATTTCCCCCACCGGGGCGGCCGACCCCGTTCTGGGCCCCGGGTGACCGCCGGCCTTTCGACCCGTGAGCCCCTTCGACAGCGGCAGCATCGCCACCGCCGCCGCCGCCGCCGCTTTCCGTCTCATTCGCCAGGGCCCTTGCCTCTCCAGCCGACGGCGCCGTCATGGCGTCCGCGTCTGACTCGCAGAGGAGAGTGGAGGCGGCGTAGGTCAGCGGTGACGTCAAGTGAGCGCCGCCGTCAGCGCCGTCGCTACCGGTCGCGGTAGGCGCGCCATCCGACTGCAGGTGTAACACGCACCTGGCAGCAGCCTGCACTTCATCCTCTTCCTGTACGGACTGCAGGACAATGCGAGACAGGGTCTGGATCCTGCCTGGATCCGAAGAGCTGCGCTGGATCTGATGTGCATGGCTTGCCGCTGCTCCGGAACCCGCCGCGCCGCCGGCTCCAGTCCGCGTAGCCGCTGCCGCCGCAGGTGCTGCAGCCTCCTTCACGCAGACGCGCTTCGCCTGAGCTGCTGCCGTACGCCACCCTTGTGGCCGGAACCTGCCGTACCGGTTACGCTTCGTCCAGACCGCCAAGTCGTCGGCGAGCTGCGCCATGCTCTGGAGCTGCTCCGGCCTAATCTGGATCTGTACGGCGTCCGTACCTGCAACTATTTCCACGTGTGTCCCCGCACCCGCAGCTGCAGCAGCTGCTACTGCTACCGCGCCGGGCGGAATCGGTGCCGCAGCGGCATTTGAAAGCACCTGCTGCTGCTGCTGCTGCGAAAGGTTGTGGTAATGATGTTGATGAATGCTGATGGACAGCCTGTGCGTTGGAGGCTGCAGCCCTCCCGAACCTGCAGCTCCTCGAACGCCGCTGCCAGAGCTTCCCTGCCTGAACTCCGCTGCTGCTGCTGCTGCTGCCGCCCCCGCCGCCGCCGCCGCTGCCATGGCGCCATCCCCAGCCCCTGACCCCGCCGCCACCCCCCCAGCCTGACTGCCGCTGGGCCCTTGCGTGTGCTGCTGGTGATGTGCATGCTGCATGTGGGCCCCTTGGCCAGAGGTGGCCACCGCAGTGGCAGTTAACCGTAGCACGACGTCCATCGGGGTGATAAGGTAATCGTCGCTGTGAGGGGGCGGTCGCGGTAGCGGTGGCGGGCCAGCGACAGCACCAGCGGCGGTCTGCGCCTCGTCCGGGAGCGGAGGGTGCCAGTAGACCCCCAGGCCGCGAACCGCTACATGTCGAGCTAGCTTGGCGTGCTGCGGTAGTATATGCATGCGGGTGTGAAAGACGAACACGCAAATCGCCGATGGATCAAACAGGTAGTAGGCGATCAAAAAGCACGGGGCTGAGGGCAGAGCGATACAGCCAGTGCTATGCATGGTGACAGCCATGAAAGCTGCTGGTACACGGCGGGTTTAAATTCTAAAGATCTCGAGCTTAGCGAGCGGGGGAGCGGTGGCCATTATTATTGACAACGGGCCCATGCACAAGCGGTGGCACCTCTCCCCACAGCCCACACCCCCTACATCACGCACCGAATGCCGGCCAAGTGCCGCGCCGTATAGCCGCGCCAGGACCGACTTGGGGGCCTTGGGCTCGGGAACCGTGCTCAGGCTGTCCAGGGCTAGCCCTGCTGAAAACGAAACACCGTTCTGATGGCCCTGCGGTGCGGAGGTGGCGACGGACGTGCAACGGTGGGGCGGTGGGGAGCCATGGCGCTGGGTCATGCAGGAGCCAGTCATGACCCATGGGTCACAGTTCGTCACGCTTCACTGTCACTTGGGTGGTATGAACCGTATGATGCTATGCCCTCCCGGAGCTCATTTATACCACGCTAGGGCCGGGGCAGAGCCGCGCCACGCCATGTCATGCCACGCCCGAGTCGCGCCCTAGTCCGCTCTGATCAAGATCCGGATCCGTCTCATGGAACTTGAAGCGGTCAGAGATGGTAAAATCCACATCGGTCTGGTCTGGTGACACCTTTATATAGATGGAGGTTCTGGTAAAATCCACAGAAGTCCAAGACTTGCCTGAAAGGTGATGTGGACATTACGAACGCTGAACTGCAATCGATTTAATAGAAGCTGGGACATGTATTGCAAGACCGCCGACCAAAGACCACCCCCAAAGCTGCCGCCGGTACTACCACCGCTGCTGCCGCCACCAGAAGCTCCGGCAGCCGGGCCCGGCGCAGCGGCAGCGGCGGCGGCCGCGGCAACTCCAACCCCCGACGTCGTCGCCGCCACCGCCGCCTCGCCGGCATGCGACACGACTTGCGCATCGGCACCAGCCACAGACGCTGCCGACCCGGGCGCACCTCCCGAGGTCAGCGCAGCAGTGCCCTCCGGCGCTGCTCCGAAGCACGATCCCCCCCCTTGGGAGCGCCTCTGACTGGCGCTTCCTGCGCCCCTGACACCCACAGCTGAGGTCAACCCACCCTGCGACTGGCTGTGCGGAGGTTGCTGCTGCTGCTGCTGCTGCTGTTGGTTCTGCTGTTGTTGTTGCACCACCATCCTGCGAGATAACTTGGCGAGCTCAGCCGCCGCCAGGTCGGCCTGCTTAGCGGCCTGTTCTCGGCGGAGCACTGCCGCCTCCTCCCACTGCGACGGCGACAACAGGAGGTTAGGGTGGGAGGTTAATAACAACCCCCTGCGCACAAACCGATCGAAGACAACAGCCGACGATATCCACAGCATGGCGGAGGGCTAACGACAAACGCACACATGTACACGTCGTCAAGGCCGGTAACAGAGAGGTAAAGTGGAAACGTGGTGGGGCCGGGGCCGACAGGTTTGGACCAGTGGACCTAGCGTGCAGGAATGGATGTTGTGCCTGAAAAGGCAACCTTGATGTCGGCAGTCACCGGTCGGCAGTCAGGCGGCAGCGTCAGACACACGAGCGGCGGGGGGGGTAGGGGGGAAAAGACGAACCAGGAGAGAGCGGGGGTAGGTGGGAGAGAGGGTGGGGGCCTTGTACACCCCAAGGCCATAAAAGCTTCTGCCAAACCCGCTGCTCAGGTAGATCACCACCACCCGTGAAACTTTGAGAGACTTTTTGCCCTCGATCTCCAACACGGGGGACGTATACCCATAGGGCCCATCCGCAGCTGCCAAAAACGTCCCCGTCAGAGCACCGCTTACCGGGCCCGTCCCCTCTCGGTGGCTCGTCCCGCTTTTCCCGCGCTAACGCAAATTCGTCGTTGTTTACTCTACAGGGACCACTGCAATGTCCACCAATGCTTCCTCCCTTCCATCCCCCCTTCCCCCGCGCCTTCACCGCCCGCGGAAAGAGGCGGGCCCTGTGTCAGTTTCGGAATACCTCCAGTGGCTCACCTCACTGTCACTCCGCTCAGTGGCGCACAGAACGACATCGCTCAGCTCCGCGACCAGCGACCCGGTGAGCCAGTTGCCCCAGGGTATCTGGGTTGCGGACATTCCGGACATGCGGGTCAAGTCGCAAGTCTAGGCGAGGGAAGATGCCGCGGGATGGCAGGACGAGCAAAACACGCTGCGCCGTGTGACGGTTGACGGGTAATACATGCAGACGGATGCAGTTGCCAGGGCCGCGAAGCGGTCCATGGGTGTGTGGAGTTCTTTCCACAGTAGCCCGGGACAGTGGCCCTGGAAGGATGTGGATTGCTTACAATAGAGATGCATTCTGCAGTGCTGTGACGCGGCCTGTGAAGACTTGTGCAGCAGCAGGGAACGAACCACACAGCCCCGGTGGTTAGGTCCATGTGCCGGGTGGAGTAAGATTTGCACGTCCCTTGGTCAGGGGTTGGGAAAGGCTGAGCTGCCGCAGCACCTGCTGCTGGTGCAGCAGGCGTTGCTAGTGGTGGTGGTGGTGCTGCTGCTATGTCCATGGTCCCAAGGGTGTGAGCCCGCGTTGTGCGGTGCCGCGACCGCGCTTGGGCATGGCCACAGCGCGTACCTTAATGCGAAGGCGGCCCACAACGCCTTCGTGGATGGCGAACGGCAGGTTGAGATAGTCGAATGCCTCTGGCCGCAGCCGAACGTTCTCCAGAACGCCGGACCCTTTGGCACAGGGCCACGGCGGAAAGGGAAAGGGAAGTTGTCTGGTGGTGGAGATTAGCGAAGACCGTCACAAGGACCCGGCTTCGCATAACACGCGTTGCATCGCAGCTCATGCGGGTTGCTGCGACAGCCTGTCAGCGCGCAGGTTGCACGCCAGACTCCAGCGTTTGGTCCTTTCGAAGTGCAAACTATCACCCGGGTTGTAAAACATTCCTTAGATCGAAACCCCTGGACCGCTGGGCAGTAAGATGCAGGGCAACGGGTGCTCACCGCTCCAGAGGCTAATGCGCAGCTTATCCCTCTGCACGTCCACGAAGCGTCCAAGGGACGCCGCCAAAAACTCCGATGCCCATCCTTCAAACATGATGCCTGCATCTGCTGTTTGATGCCTTCACCGCCGCAGCTGGCGCAACACTCCGACAGCTAGTGGGCGCACCGACAAGTCAATCCACTCAGGAAGGACGCTAACCTTCATATAAGGAAAGTAATCAATTTACATGATGTTAAATTCAACCCTATATTGCGATCTGAGCTGCAACTCTGACGTCGACCGTTCGACTCAACCTACCGTTGGTCCAGGGCTTATCGACGCACTATACAAGCATCATATAGCTGCCTTGCTCTCAGTTGGGATGCACGGCCTTCTAAGCTGTCGGACTAATCAGAAGTCACGTTGCCGATTGTTCGCAAGTTCCAGACCTGGTAATAAAACATGTCCTACATAATCAGAAAGATATTGTACTGCATATGTATAACATTATACCCCATATGCCCTGCTTAAGTGCGAAGAGTCACAGCGTCTACCGGGGACGGGCCCAGCAATCTATCTCCCCTCCTGGGGGCCCCCAGAGCCTCTTTCTCTCTTGAGTGCCCTTTAGTTGCCAAACACCACGCCACTTTAGACAAATGTGTCGCTTCCAATGCTTCACTAGTAGCAGCACCATGGTGCTGTGTTCAGTAGCATGAGGGTTATGTCTGGGCTCACGCAAACCCCCTTCCCGTAGCACGGATTCGCCACCACGGGAAAGACGTTGGGAACCCACCGGTTGCGCCACTCGGCTGCAGGCTTTGTTTCAACAACCGCATCAACGCTATCTGGAGGATGTCGGCTTCCCTGGGCTACTCGCCCAAGAGGTTGACACTAATGTCGATTAGCTGTCCAAAGAAAGCGTATGGGCCCGGGAGTGAAACCTCAACTCAAGGACTTCTCTGTCCAGAACCGCGGTGCGTGCTTACGAACGAAAACCCGAACTATTAAGCAATCAGTGCGTCAGTTTACATTGTGATCCAGCCGAAGAGCTCTCCTAATATGTCCGGGCTGAGTTCAGGGACAGCATCCGGCTCCAACTATGGGCTAGTCATGCAGCTGAGCAGACACTTGTGTGATAGCAAAAGTGCTTCACAGTACGAGTGATTACTGACTACCGGTACCTGCCTAGCTAGGCTGTTATTGGGAACGCTTTAGCGAGTAGTAGAAGTAATAGTAACAGGGCATTGCCGTGATGAACCAACCCCACCAAAACCGAAATGCATCATGCGTCCCGTCCCTCGCCAATCCCCTGATACGCATTTCCATGAAGGATGCAGTTATAGTTCATTAAGGCATCGCATGGTGTATGAAGAATGCGCCGCGTTATTCATTACACGAAGGGTTTGCTTACAGCGTCAATGTGCGTAACCCCCTATCGCCACTCTTCACCCAAACTTGGGAGAGTCGGCCGAATACTAAATGCCATCTGCGAAGTCGACCATGCTTCTCTATCTGAGGCACCTCCCGGGGACTATGCGCATATGAAAATCGTAGGTTTAATTGATCTAACTTATGTTTTATCTATAAGCGGGAACTTTTGCCATCGTATTAGATGCTGCCTGTGCGCAGGATGTGCTCCCATGGGAAGCCCATAACGCGTAACGAACCGGGGTCCATGCAATCTTTTCTTTTTCCAAGGTAGAAGCAATGCTATAAATATATCTCCGCGTAACCTGTTAGTCACCTGATGAAAGAAGGAAAAACGAGGGCAAGGGCGAACGTAACGACGTACATATGGAACCAAGTTTCCATGGCGCCCTAACAGGAAACGCCCAGCTTTTATTTTTTATGCTGTGTAAGTGCATCTTCATGAAAATGTTGAGCTGACCAACTATGCAATAAAGCCCGCGACGAAATGCGGTTTGGCGGACCAAGCTGAAGATGTTCTGCTGTTTCAGAGGGTTACCAGCTGCCGAAGGCAAAGTATTGTTCAGTGACCTGCGGCCACCTCAGAAGGATGAGGCGCCAAGCAGCACAGTTAGTGGGGAGCCTGGCAAGGCTGCGGCGCTGCTGGAGCTGGTTACTTCAACTCCAAATGAAGGCCCTACAAAAGGCACACATGCTAGACTTAATGGTGGCGAAGTTGTGAGCATAGATGCTCCTGAACATCAAGAAGATGGTCCTGCTGAGCCCGTCCAAAAGTCTTATGGAATATGGACTAGTTTAGCCGAAGGCCTACGCACAAATACTGGAAACCAGCTCACTAGTATGGCTGGCGCCGGTGCACAGGTTAATGGCGACGCGGCACTAAGGCTTCCACCAGGTAGGCTTTATGTTTCTGGGCCGTCATGTGAATGCGATGATCATGAATTTATGCATCTGATAAGTTTCGTAACCAGGGCGAATAACCTTCCATGGCCTTTTAGTTGCGAAACCATATTGTTTCGACTTGCACCCACCTGTTATCATTGTCCTTGCTGGCTAGCTTAAGATAGGACATACCGCGAGGTTTCAGCTTTCACTTCGCAAAGTTTGCTCACAACCCACACGGCTCCCAAGGCTGGACCTTACAAACACCCATCCAGTTGCAAATGTCCGCCTAGCTTGGCTTCAACCCAGTCGACAGAGCGTCCGCTTAACCTCCGCCCTGTCAAAGCAACGCAGTGACTCTCGCAGCGTTGTAGTACCAGCGCGCCCCCTGCTCTCTACTGCAATCATACCCTGCAACGCCATCACACCACTCCCGATAACCCCTTCCTTTCTCCTCCCCCACCTCCTCCTCCCCCTCTTCCTCTGGGCCCGCAGTTGGCGACGTGATAGCGCTCTCAGACCTTGTGCAGCAGATCAGCAACCTGGGCGATCCTGTTGCCATCATCACCTTTGACCGCACCACCAAGCGCAGCCTGCGCTCTCACCGCGTCAGTCCCCACCTGGTGATGGACATCAACATGGAAGCCATGTTTGCCGGAGGCGTGGTTTCGCCGCCGTGCATGACGAACACTTCCTGCGGGGAACAGTCCCTGGAGCCACTGGGCCACCTGTCGCCGCAGGCCGTTCTGCACCTGCTGCAGAGGCATTACTGTAACGCCGAAGCAATTCGGTAAGTAAGCGAGCTCCTGGGCGGCAAGGCGCACGTGAGGCGGCTTCTGCTGCTGCCACTGTCTACTGCTGTCGCTACTAGCTTGCTGTCGTCGTATTTTCCAGGAGCTGCATGGCTATGGCTGCACCCTCCCCGGGCGCGACCACGGGGTTCCCGTCCTGTGAAACGCTGCTGTCGGGGTTTGTCAATTGGGCTTCAAGTCGGTTTTTCTGTTCCCGAACCAACCCCTGAAGGCCTGAACTAACCTGTCCTGACATGCTGGTCAAAACATCCCCGCCCGCTGAGGGCGCAGCGGGATGCTCCGCTCCTAGTCCCCGGCTGCTGGCTCCCCCCTTCTCTCCCCTTCCTTCCTTCCTCATGTCGCAGGCTGGCGGTGCACTGCACCAACCCCGCGTTGCAATCCCTGTTGGGTTGCCCGGGGGAAGGGGACTACGAGGGGCTGCTGGGGGAGCTGCTGTCCACGGAGCACATGATGCGGGCGGTGCTGCACGACTGCTGCCTGTGCATGCTGGAGGGAGTGGGGGTGGGTGGGGTGGCCCTGCACGACTGGGAGGGTGTTGAGTGCGCGGTCAGGGGCGTCCGAAGGAGTGCGGAACATGGGCAGCATACATCCGGAAGGACGCGAGGCTCCCCCCCTGGGGCGCTATATCCACCTCCCAGCTCCAGTTCCCAGCTGCGGCAGATAGCCAAGGTTGCATGGGGCCATGCAGCCAAGGTCTCCGTCCCTAGCGCTCCGGGTGCAAAGGGCATCACGTGAATGAAACGTAGAACGGCTAGTTGGTGAAAGTTGTTGAGGGCGGTAAGCGGTCCTCCCTCCTCGCGCCGCTCTCCCAGCCTGCCGGGCTACCTCGTGGGGCGGTCGCTGGGGCGTGCGAGGTCCTTTTGAGGTTGAGGCTGGGAGGACGGCTGGGGGGTGTCGCTGACTGCTCACCGTGGACTTAGGGTTAGTGAATGCGGAGTAGAGAGCAGGCTGGGGATGCGTCGCTGTGGGGACAGAGCGCCGGGGGGAGCACCGGATCGGTTGGAGTGTATACTGCCAACGTCATGATGGTGGCCTTTGGGAAACCTCCACGGGATGAGCACCCCATCCCGCCATTCCCCCATCACCCCCCAAACGCCTCAGTCCGCTCCGAGATGTTTTTCCTTAGTTCAATTCCCGAACCTTTCAGCCCCCCCCCTTTGATACACCCTCCCCCACCACCCCCAGCCCCGCCGCCTCACCCCCTGGCTCGAGGCACCAGGACCCCGTTCCTAGACTTGCGTCTCCGTCCCGAACCAACCCCAAAAGTTTACTTCATCTGCACGTGATCTCCCGCCAGATAACACAAACACGTATGTTACGTGTATATCCATACCCGTACCCACACCCGCACGTATGCTGTAGTAACCCACGCGTTCTGGGTTTTGGCACGTGTTCCCCTCTCCTCCCTCCCCCGGACCCAAATCTTCCCGGGACTTTACCGCACTGGGTCACACCCCGGACCCGCCCCCCTCCTCAGGCTGCAAATGCACAGCTGATGGTGCACCACCCTATCCGCAGCACCGCCTCCAGGATGGTGCTGCCGGTGATGGTGCAGCCGCTGCTGGTGTGGCGGCGCTCTCCCGGGGCACCCGCCACCGCGGCTGAGGTGCCCACCATGGCAGTGGTGGTGCGGTACACGCTATCCGCGGGGCTGCACGACGCGCTGCAGCAGCTGCATCGTGTGTATGTAATGCTGTCGAGCCTCTCAGGCATTGTAACGCTGTTCACGCTACGGGGCCTGGTCCTGCACCAGAACGCGGCGTCTGTTAGGTGAGTCAGTTGCAATTTGCCACTAGCGGTTAGTCGTTAGTTGTTGACCATCCTTGGCGGTTGTATGGCACCAGGGAAGTGGGTTGGTCGGTGGAGTGGCGCGTTAGGTACACGGACGAACCCGGGGGGTGGAAGAGAAAGACACACACCCGTGTTTGCTTGCTTCCCCCCTTCCCCTACCCCTTCCCCTACCCCCTACCCCCTGTACCAGTCTACCCATGGCATCACAGCTTCACTTGCTCGTGGTTCGTCTCTGGGCGGGACAGAGACGAACCGGCACTTGTTTTTCTCTTTAATAAGGACTAGTGCATGTACAATTTTACCTGACCCCTTTTTTACTCTTCCGTCTCTTATCTTGTTATAGGTACATGGGCTTGCGGACGGCTCTGGGCCCGGAGGCAATCGGCCTCGCCAACGCCACCAACGCGGGTGCCGGGGGCGGCGGCGGCGGCGGCGGCGGCACCGACATCCAGCAATCCGCCGACCTGACTGATGCCAGCGGGCTGGCGCTGGGCAGCCTGCTGCGGCAGATCTTCGCCCTCAGCTCCGAGCAGCTGGACGACATGCTTGAGGACGTGGTGGAGGGCAAGACGTGGAAAGGCATCGTGCGGGTGCCGCCGCTGCTGACGCCCACAACGGATCCGGGGCCCGTACAGGCGGCGGTGCTCGTGGCGCGCGGCATGAGCGCCATGACGGGCGGGCCCACTCCCAACGGCTCCAACGCACAGGTGCGGCAGCCAAGGTGGTGTCCTGGCAGGCTTGCTCCTGCCCATTGGTTTCCATTTCCTGCTCTATGTGTGTGCGTGCGTGTCATCCTTGCGCAGGGGCCATGCTAATGCGCAGGGGCCATGCTAATGCGCAGGGGCCATGCTAATGCGCAGGGGCCATGCTAATGCGCAGGGGCCATGCTAATGCGCAGGGGCCATGCTAATGCGCAGGGGCCATGCTAATGCGCAGGGGCCATGCTAATGCGCAGGGGCCATGCTCTAAATCATACTCTATTTCATACTCGGCATCATCCGCTGCTCGTCTTTCCCGCGCACTCCGCACACCCTCCCGGCCCCTCAGGTGATGTCCACGTGGGAGCGACTGGGGCCCGTGTTGATGAGCACCCAGCCGGGGGTGCGTTGCTCTGTGGCTCAAAACGGTAACCAGAGCGACGCCGAGGGCCACAGCGATATGGTCGGGGCACTCATGCTGACCCAGGAGGCGGATAAGAGCCTGGGCGGGCCCGTGGACGCGGCGGCTGCGGCGGGGTCTACGATTACGGGCTCCACCGCGGGGGGGACGATCATGGCGCTGCCGGGCACGACGGCCTCGGTGCTGCGGACGAACGCCAGCACGCTGGGGGCCGGCGGCGGCGGCGGCGACAGGAATGTGAACAGCGGAGGCGGGGGAGGCGGGGATACGGGGAGCACCCCGGGTAGCTGCTTGTTCCTGGCGATGGGGAGTACCAGCGGTACGACATTCAGCAGGATGAATGCTGGCTCACATCTGGGGACGCAGGTGGGGGGGGTGAGAGGGCGGGCGGGCGGGCGGGCGTTGTGTTTTGTGGGCTTGCCGTGTGGTTTGCAGACAGAGCTACTGCGTGCTGTCGGGGTTTGGCCAACAGTGTTATCTGTCCCTGCACGGAAAGGCCGTGGCAGTGGCTAATCTGTGTGTGCGTGTGTGTGCTATCTCTCACCATCTTCTTGAGGTTCCCCAGCTCCCCGGGAGGCAACCAGCCGAGTGGGACACGCATTCCCTATCGCGGCTCAGCCCTCATAAAAACACACCAACATGCTCAGGGACATTGTTTCGTCGCGCATGCACCGAGCGATCACGGAAGCCCCGTGTGAGGCACGCAGAACGTTGGCGGGCAAAACACATCATCATCATCGCGCACTGCCAAACACACTTCTCTCCCCACTTCCCCCGCTACATCCGCCCCCCCCTTACCTGGTTGCCCTTCAGTTGCCGTCGTCATGTCTGATAATAGTCTTTACTGAGGGCAGGGGTGTGCATGCACTAGACTCGTTTGGCTGTCGGCTGTTTGTTTCTGCTGGTTCCGCATTTTTCCTTTCCTTTCCACTTTCCTCCATCATGCTCACATGGATTTGCACCACCCGGGTGCCCGGGTGTCCACCTACGCACCCCGGGTGCCCCGCGTACCGCAGAACTCCTTCCTCCGCATGGGCGTCCACCAGCGCACTCTTATGAGCCGGCTGAGCTCCAACGATCTGCCAGAGGGCGGATCCCTGGCCACAGCGCTGTCCATGCCGGGGCCTGGAGGAGGTGGCGGCAGCGGCCGCAGCGGTGGCAACGGCGGCATTGGCGGCGGCTCCGGGATGATGTCCACGGGCGCCACCGTCGGCAGCACCGCCGCCGCCGGCAAGTCGAGCGGCAACGGCGGCTCCACGGCAGGTTCCTTGTACGTCGCCTCCAAATTGTCAGGCTCCGCGCCCGTGGTGCCGTCCAATTCGCGAGCGCAATCGGCGGTGCGGATCGCCGGCACAAGCCTGCTGCGCACGTTGATGGAAAACGGCACGTCCATTATGAGCGAGATGGACCGGGCATCCAACAGTATTGGGTATCTGAGCGGGCTGGCGGGGCCGACCGGCACAGGTAGCGGCGGCCTGCCTGAGGACGGTCTGCAGCGCCGGCAGCAGCAGCAGCCGGGACTGACGGACGCTGCGCGGCGGTCCATTGTACGGCGCCGAAGCGCGCTGAAGCTGGTGCCGTCACCCTCTGACGACAACCCGTTATCCACGTCAACATGGGGCCTGTTTGAGAGCTCCCGAGTGCGGTGAGAGTCCTGGGGCTTGAGCTGCCGGTCTGGCTGGGCTGACTGCATCGCTATGCGGCTGTATGGCCTGGCTATGTGGGAAGCAAAGGCCTAAATAACAGCACGAGTTCAAGCATGAAGGAGGGGATGCTCTCGCGAGCTACTTCCCCCCTCCCGGCAGTCGCTGGTTGATTGCATGTCTTTGTGCCGTTGGGACACGTGCCTGCCTGGCGGTGGTGTGTGATTTCCGGCGTGGGTGAAGCCGGCGGTCCGGGGAGCCACGAGAGGGACACAAAAAGGGAATTAGCACGCGGCACTTAGAGCGAGGAGCTTGCTTACGAGCGAGAAAGCGCATTTCAACTCGAGAGAAAGCGCAAAGCGTAATGAGGAGAGAAGCATGATGGAAATCCAGTTCGGCTTGTTTTGTGTGGTCGGTCACAGCGCCCTTGACCCCTGCCAAGAGCTATACACCCTCGAAGGGGGGCACACCCAGGGTCGTTTTATCTTTCCAAACCTCTAGTACGGCTGTTTGTACGGCAAATTATGCCTCATTCCTTGCCCCCCTGCCCTACAACCCCTGCTGCACACCGCCGCGGTGCCACACGGCCAATGTACGGCATACGACATGCGGTGTTTACCGCAGAGGGGAATCCAAGTCATTCACGCTCCGCCGTACCAACAGCCCCTCTGCGCCCAACGGCATCAAGCGCGTCGGCACCGACCGTACCCTGGAGCATATGAAGGCGGCGCCATCGCACACGGAGCCGCAGACTGGCAGCGCCGCCGCCGTCGCCTCCACCGTCACCGCCGGCAGCCTTACCTCCGGTGGCGGCGGGGCTAAGAAGCGGCCGCCTAGCCGGCTCATGTCCTTCCTCGCTAACAAGAACATCGGTGGGGCCCCGACAGCCGCGAGTCACTCGGCTAGATCAATAACAACAACGGGTGGCGGCAACGTTTGGTCGACATCTGTGGTGGGGGAAGGCGGCTCGGCGCACGACGGCGGCGGCGCCGCGGCTGGCGGGGGCGGCGGCGGCGGCGGCCCAAGCTCGTTCAAGGGCGTCTGTTCGACAACCGAACTGGAGATCGGCAGCCGGCAGGGGTCATCCTTGGGGCGAAGCGGCCTGTCAACACTGGCGGTGCAGCAGCACCTCGCGTCCAATGCGGCCATGTTGGAGACGGCGGCCCAGAACGGCAGTGCGAACAACGCCACCGCCGCCGCCTCTGCGTCCGCCCGCGCCGGATCACCGCGGCGGCCGCCCGCTCGCCGTGTTATGCGGCCAGCGATTGCAGACGTGGCGGAGGAGAGCGGTGCGGAGTGCAGCGGTCGGTTGCCGCTGATGGTGGCGGCGGCGCGGGAGAGCGGCGTGAGCACCGCAGCGGGCCCCCCGGCGGTGCTGCCGCAGCTGTCGGCAGTAATGCAGGCGTCGCGGGCGTCGACGGCGTCGCAGGTCCCTGGTCGGGAGATGACACACCCCTCCTACGGCGGTGGCTCGCAGGATCGAGCCTCTTGCAGCTGCGATGATGACGAAGACTGCTGGCATGGTGAGTGCGCTGGCTGGCGGCGTGAGCCGCAGCTGCCATGTGATTGGAGTCAATGTAATTGGAGTCGATGTGATTGGAGTCGATGAAGGCATTCGCGCTCCCTGAAAGCCTCAAGGTTCCGTTGACGGGACGAGCGTGCGCAACAATCGTGCATCTTAAATTGTGCAAAAGTAGACATATGAGCAGCCTGAAAGTGTCCTCCTCGCTATATACGATACGGGCAGGATTCGAACGAGTGACCTGCTGCAGATAGGAGCCTGATTCCCTGGTGCCATGCGCGGCTCTGCCCTGTCCTGTCCTGCAGAGATTACGGCATCAACACTTCGAGATCCTGTCAGCGGCGAACAGGCGCTATTGCTCATGCAGGTGGGGGGGAAGGAGGCGGGGAAGAGGACACACGTATCAAAACACACACACGCACATTCCTCATTACTCGCATGCCCAGTTCCTGCATGGGGCTCAGGAGATGTCAATAAGACTTAGAAGGAACACAGGCCGACGTCAGCAAGGAGACCTCTCTATTCTCTCCTCTTCTCTCCTCTCCTCGCCTCTCCGCGCTTGCGAGGTTTTCACCGGTGTTTTTCTTCTCTTACTTCCCCCGACCCGACCACCCTCCCGACCAACCGTCCAACCGTTCGCAACTTCCTCTTCTCACTTCTGCAACCTGTCGCCGGGGCTGGGGCTAGGACTGGGCGCTAACTGGCCCTTGCGTTGGCACGCAGGTGGACGTGTCCGCCCGGGTCCGAGCGGAGCGGCGAATAGCTGAGGTGTTGGAGGCGGAACATAAGCTCCTGGAGAGCGTGTTTCCCAGGTGCGTGGGGTGTGGGGTTGGGGTGTGTGGGGATGGGTTGTGTGGGGATGGGTTGCGGGGTTTTGGAGGGGTTGACGAGGCCGCACTTGCGGCAAGGGTCGGGGAAGGTTCCGAATTTCTCGACCTGGGGCTGACTGCACCGGCTCACGTTGTGCATCTTAGCATAGCTTCGCGTGGGCATAGCAGTGCTCCCGAACGGAACCCGACCATGCCGATGAGAGGCTCCCATGTGGCATCGCAGCCCGCCGCCCAGCCTATAGCCCAGTTCAGCTAGCACAGCCATGTCCAGTAGTGTCCGCTGATAGCCGCGGCAGTAGTCAGGCAGTAGTCAGGTCTTTATCGGCCACCAGGCCCGGCCCAGCCCCAGCGTTTGCCAGTGGACACTGACTCCACTCGCCAGTTCTTTTTCCCCCCCTCCATTGCTCGGGTCGGGGGGGGCCACTGCTACCACCACCACCACCACCACTACTACTACCATTGCTACCACTATTATTACCACTGCTACCAATGATTTGTTCATATCCACCATTGGATCACCTGTCTGTTACCCTTCACATTTTCACTGGTCAACCACCCGGTCACCAGTCAACACTCGGTCAAACCTGCAACGCAAACCCGCAAGGGGTCAGGGAAGACCCTAAGAGACCCTCTAACAGCCCTCACCCGCGGATTGCCCGCTGCCACACACACGTCTGAGCGTAATCATAAGGTTTAGATATACGTTGCCTGGTTTGTACGACAACCAAATTTCCCCTGTTGCCGTACAATGCAACAGGCACGTTTTGGAGCTTGCCGCCACGCAGCACCCCAAGAACGGCGCGGGTCGTCAAGGGCTGGGAGCTATGAGCAAGTTCAGCCTGGCCGAGCTGCCTCTCGTTCAGAACTGCGCCTCCGTGGCCACATACCACCCCATGGTCACAATCCTCTTCAGTGACATTGTCGGTGGGTGCTAGGGCCCGCTCTCTCGCTGCGCCGGGTGGGCTGGGCTGAGCATGTTGTACCTCCTCTCACCTTGTTCGCAGTTTCCCCGCCTGTCAAGCGCTCACATCTTCACGGGGTCCCCGGTCATGTATTCCCCCCCCGGCCATGCATTCCTCCTCCCTCCCCCCCCCTCCCCCTCCCGGCTCCGTTGCCCTGAGGAAAGGAGGGGCGGGGTGGCCGGGGGCCCCTGGTGACCGACCCACCGACCCGCCCGTTCTCAAACCCCGCCCGGCTCCCCGCACCCCGCACCCCTCACCCCTCCACCTCCCGCCTGCAGGCTTCACCAGCATGTGCCACGAGATCCCCGCCACCAAGGTCATGGAGTTCCTGAACAACCTCTACTCGCGATTGGGTGAGTGGGTGGCGGGGGTTGGGGTGGGGTGGGTGAGTGGTGGCGCGGAATGGCTGGGTGAGGTGGGGTGGGGTGGGGTGGGTGGCCCTGGGCCGGGTGTTGCCCGGGTTCTCTGCTGTGCTGCGACGGATCCTCTGGGGCCGGCAGGGGGGGCGCTGTCCTGGTACGTGGTGGTGGCGGTACGTGGTGGTGGCGGTACGTGGTGGTGGCGGTACGTGGTGGTGGCGGTACGTGGTGGCACCTTACAGGCATGTAGGGATGAAAGCGGGGGTGAGCAAGGACAGCAGCTGGCATGAGGGAAGGAGGGCTTAGGCGTTTTTAGTGCTTGTGCGGCCCACACGCCCTCCCGCCTGTCGCTTGTCGCCTGTCGTCTGTCCCGCCGTGCGATTTGAACTATGGCGACGCCTTACCCGACGCTGCACTTACCCACATTTCACAATCCACCTCTTGTACCCCTCCCCCAATAGACACGCACCTCATTGCACCACCCAACACCACCCAACACCACCCAACACCACCCAACACCACCCAACACCACCCAACACCACCCAACACCACCCAACACCACCCAACACCACCCAACACCACCCAACACCACCCAACACCACCCAACACCACCCAACACCACCCAACACCACCCAACACCACCCAACACCACCCAACACCACCCAACACCACCCAACACCACCCAACACCACCCAACACCACCCAACACCACCCAACACCACCCAACACCACCCAACACCACCCAACGCCACCCAACACCACCCCGCACAAACCCCACCTCCCACGCAGACACGCTTCTGGATGTGTACGGTGTGTACAAGGTATGTCAGTTGGTGTCAGTTGTTGCTTGATGTGATTAGTTGGTGTAAGTTGGTGTCAGCTATGTCCCGAATCAATGACGCGGGGTTAGCAGTCGACGGTTGTCTTCCCGCAACTACCAACTCCCCTACGGCATCAACCCCCGGCGCCGCTACTCCGCTGGCGACTCCACCCACCCCTCGGTGTTATCCGTAATTCCCGTGGCCCCTGGGCCCCCTTTCGCTGCTTACCTTCTTCGCCTGTGCTACTGCTGCCGCCTCCGCTCAAATCGGTTGCTACGGCGCCGCCGTCACCTCTGGCATCCTATCCCGACTTGCTTACCCAACATTATCTTATTTGTTTTGCTCCTCCTACTTACCCGTGGCCCCTTCGTCTACCTGTCCCTTCGTCTACCTGTCCCTTCGTCTACCTGTCCGCTGTGGCGGCTTGTGGCCCGCCAGGTGGAAACCATTGGAGGTGAGTTTGCGCGATATTATGTGTGTATGTACGTATGTATGTACGTACGTATGTATGTACATATGTATGTACGTACGTATGTATGTACGTACGTATGTATGTACGTACGTATGTATGTACGTATGTATGTACGTACGTATGTATGTACGTGCACGTGTGTATGTGTATATGTGTCAGCGCCGATTGAGGATGTGGGGTGGGTGGGGGAGGTCGCTCCGTGTGGGTGCTCCAAAAAGCCCCCAAAGGTCCTCGTGAAACGCTTTGCACCTTGCGGGGGTTTGGGCATGTGGGGATGTGGGGATGTGGGGACATGCAACACCAGTGTTGAGGCGGGTAGCGGGTAGTGCTGTCGAAAGAGCGATGTGCTCAAAGCACGATGGCTCTGTGCTTGTGATTCCGTAATCCGCTGTTTAGCCAGGGGTGCAGGCGGACAGCACGAGAAATGGAAGGCGAGCAAGGATAAGTAATTGTAGCTTCTTGCCTTTGGTTATGCAACTCACAAGCACGGCGAAAGAAAAGCAAATTTGTTGCTGGTGTGCGCATGTGGATAAGCTTAGCAGCGATATCGGTGCCGTGGCTCACGTGGCTCGTGATGAGGGCGGTTGAGGAGGCCGGCCGGCCCCGCCTGGCAGACGGCCTTAACCAAAAGCGCGGAGAGCGTTGGGGCCCCTCCCACCCCACACAAACCGGCATGCTTTCCTTCTTTGCTTCTTTACGCTCCGCCTCCACCCAGAGGCTCTCCGCCTCCGCCCTTGGTCACCCAGCCCTCCCTTCCCCTTCTCAATGCCCGGTCCTTTCCCCCCTGGCCCCTCCCCCCTCCCGCCTCACCAGCTTTACTCGTTCGCGGTTCGTCTTCCCCCCTCCCTCCCTCCCTGATTTCGGAGCATCTGAATTCCTCGCACGTGTTCCCCTCCCTACCCCCCCCGGACCCCAGACTGCTACATGGTGGCGGGGGGCCTCATGACCCGGGACGCCGACGGCTTCATGACGGTGCGAGGTAGCGACAGCACGGACGAGCTGCACGCCGCCAAGGTCATGTCATTTGCAAAGGTAGGGCACGAGGGACAGGGAGGGGGCATGCGGCAAGACCAGGAAGAAAGAGGAGATCAGGAAGAAAGAGGCGGCGCAGGTAATCCGCTTGGATTCACTTAATGTCCAAATTCACGTATATAAAAGTAGAAGAGACAGCTGGAGGGCGGAAAGACGTGGCCGTGAAGTTTGGTGGGGGGCCGGAAGGGGGAGAGAGGGAAAAGGGGGGAAGGGCGAGAAATGCAGCGGTGGGAGCTGCACCACGGTTTTTAACTAACGGTCGGGGCTGTCGCGTGGGTGCTGCGAGGCGAGGGACTAAAAGGCTGCGCGCTCCCTCCTCCTGCCCCCCCCCTTGTTGTCTGTTGGGACCGGCGTACCCCACATGCCCCCTGTCTCGGTGCCTCGGTGCGTATTGCTGCCTTTTGATGCTTTGAATGTTCACCACCCACTGCCCCCTCCCATCAGGTTGCTGCGGGGAAGAATCCTCCTCTTGACCCCCCAGTCCTCCCCTGCCGCCCCCTCCCTCTCCCCCTCCCCTCCCGTTCCCGCTCCCGCCGGGCCGGGCAACCTCTTGTCGCGTCCTGATATCTCTTGTGCCGCGTTCCCTCTATCGCCTCCGCTGCCCCTCCCGCGCATGTCCCCTCCTGTTCAGGCCATGCTGCGTGAGACATCGGAGGTGCTGCTGCCCACCACTGGCCAGCCAGTGCAGATGCGAATAGGTGAGTGAGGCGAGAGTGGGTGGTGGGGGGAGGGGGAGCTGCGGCCCGGCTTGGCGCGCTTGTAAGGAGGGGAGCGGGGCTGGTCGCTGGCCTACCTGGATGGGATGGGGAGGTGGCTGAATGCGAACGAGGCGGCCTGGGCGCCCAAATGGCCGTGCTACATGCACCTGTCTATGTGGGAGGGGACTACCTTGCTAGTGCTGGTGCTAGTGCTGGTGCTAGTGCTGGTGCTAGTGCTGGTGCTAGTGCTGGTGCTAGTGCTGGTGCTAGTGCTGGTGCTAGTGCTGGTGCTAGTGCTGGTGCTAGTGCTGGTGCTGGTGCTGGTGCTGGTGCTAGTGCTGGTGCTAGTGCTGGTGCTAGTGCTGGTGCTGGTGCTGGTGCTAGTGCTGGTGCCAGTGCTGGTGCTAGTGCTGGTGCTAGTGCTGGTGCCAGTGCTGGTGCTGCTGATAATGGTGATGGTGCTGCATGCCATCGGTGCCGCTGTCAGCCACGTTACTTCATCAACTGCCTATTGGGAACGAAGCGGTAGCGCACTGTTGTCCAGACGGCGCTTCTTTCGGTGACGGAGCTGCCCGGCGTGCGGTCGTATGGGTTTAGTCCGCGTGCAGCAGCAGCACGCCGGGTCGCGTGCTCCTAGCGTAGGGTCCATCGCACCCCTTACCCCCCCCCTTACCCCCACCTCGCACCTCGCACCTCCTCCAGGCCTGCACTCGGGCCCCGTCATGAGCGGCATTGTGGGCTCCAAGATGCCCCGGTTCTGCCTCTTCGGGGACACGGTGGTGAGTCCCTCGAGTACGACCACCTGGTCGGCGACCTGGTTGCCTGGTTGGGTGCGGGTGCTTTGTCGAGAGGACGGCCGCGTTTTGGGGAGGGCCTTTTGGGCGGCCGCCATCACGTCACGTGAGGGGCCGCATTAGGGCCCCATGGAGGCGCACCGGCCTGCGAGTTGCGAGTTGCGAGTTGCCCTTTGGCTTCTTCGCCTCTTCCGCCAGTCAAAAGACCTTTCACACATCATCAAGACGCTGACTTCCCTTCAGAGGGGTTATAGCAATGGCCGCGGCGCAACGCCTGCCTGCCGGACTGCCTGTGTTCCCACCTCCACGGTTTACTGGCCCCGACTTCCGGCCCCCGCCCTGTCTCATTCCCGCAGAACACCGCTAGCCGCATGGAGAGCACGTGTCCGCCCGGTTGCATCCACGTCAGCGGAGCCACCCGGGAGTTCCTGCTGGACGAGGACTGGGAGCCCACCGGGGGAGTGATGGTGGGTTAGCATTAGCAAACGAACCGGAGCACAGCCGCACAGCCGCACAGCTGTACAGCTGTACAAGGGGGAGGAGCACGAGGGCGAGGGCCGCACTGCCCTCCCCGCTTTCCTCAGCCACTCCCAGGGGGGGGGCCCGGTCGGGTCGGGTCGGGTCGGGTCGGGTCGGGTCGGGTCGGGTCCGGTCGGGTCGGGTCGGGCCCGGTCGGGTCGGGTCGGGCCCGGTCGGGTCGGGTCGGGCCCGGTCGGGTCGGGTCGGGTCGGGTCGGGTCGGGTCGGGCCCGGTCGGGTCGGGTCGGGCCCGGTCGGGTCGGGTCGGGTCGGGTCGGGTCGGGTCGGGTCGGGTCGGGTCCATTTCTTTGTCCTATCAATCGTATTTTGACATGTTGGGTGGCTGCGCTGCGCGTCCTCCACTCCTCAGACCAACACCCCGCACATCTTCTTTTCACACACGTTTTTGCACGGCACTGCAACCGCTGCTGGTGCTGCCGCCCTGCAGAGGGCGTATCGTGACGGTGGCATCACGCGCGCCCAGCGACATGATTTACGGAACCTTGTTCAGTCTTGTTTTGTCTTCTTTGTTCTGTTCCGTCATGTCCGGGCGCAGGTGAAGGGCAAGGGCGTCATGGAGACGTTCCGCTGGGTCCCGCTGGATGCGGAGACCTCACCGCAGATTCGAGCTACGGGCTCGCAGCGCCACAACCGCCCCCGCCGCGCCTCTTCCATCGCCTACATCCACACCGGATGCGGTGGCGGCGTCGGCGTCGGTGTCGGCGTCGGCGGTGGCGGTGGCTGGACCTTTGGCGTCGGCGGCACTGGCGGCCCCAGCCGCGACGGCTCCGGAAGCATCAGCCTGGCGCAACAGGCCGCGCAAACCGTCGGGTCGGGACCCATGGGTCTGACTAGCGCAACCGGCTCCTGCGGCATGAACAGCGCCGCTAGCAATGCCGTACACTTTAGTGCTCAAGGTGGTTGCGCCTGGCCGTACACTGGCCCCGCCAAGGGCCACCGGGCTGCCTCCGCCAGCATCGCCTTCATGGGGACGGCGACTGGCTCTGCGGCGGGTCAAGGGCCGGGGACCCCGATGGGGGCCACGGCAGCGGCGGCGGATGCGGCAGCGGCAGCGGCAGCGGCGGCCGTGGCGGTAACGCCCGCAGCGACACCCGCGGTTAGTCTTACCGGTCAACCTCCGCGGGTGGGCCGCACCACCGGATCCTCCGGTGTCGGCCCGGGCAGCGGCACCCTGGTCAGCACCCGGCGTAAGCCGCACCGTAGCTGCAGCACCACTGCACTCGCCTACAGGGGCCTGGCCCGACCCGCTTGAGGGTGAGGGTGAGGGTGAAGGAGGGGCAGAGGGTGAAGGAGAGGGTGAGGGTGAGGACGAAAAAGAGGGTGAGGGTGAGGGTGACGGAGGGGCAGAGCGCGATACTAGGGAGAGGCAGAGAGGTAGACAAGGAGGTAGGGGAGGTGGGGAGAATGCCGCTCGGGCGCTGCGAAGGTTGGGCCGCTTAGAGGCACTTACGGTCCACGAATGGATGAATGGATGCATGACTCGTCCACTGGCGGTTCATGAGCTGAGAGCTGGAGAGGCCATCCGCAGCGTTCTGATCACAGTCGCGCCGGTTCGGATGTAGGAGGTCGGGGGTTCTTGGGTTCGGAGTCCATGGGAGCCTGTGCCATATTGCTGCATGCTCTGCACTGCGTCGGTCGCCCGCACGAGGGCGGCAGCGGGGAACGCAGCGAGGGGGTGGAGGACGTCGCGCCCTTGTACGGGTTGGGGGGGAAGGAGGGAGGAAGGGCGGGGGAGTAGGGAGTATGGAGGAACAGCAGTTGCCGTCACCGCCGCCGCCGCCGCCGCCGCCAGGGAGCACAATTGCGCATCAGCACCACCATCACCGCCAACGCCACACGAGGGGAGATTTTGGGATTTTCAGGGCGCGCGGTGAGGACATTTTGGTGCTTTGCCTTGCCTTGCGTTGCCCCTTGCCCCTTGCGTTGCCCCTTGTGTTGGCTTGGCTTGGCTTGGCTTGTTCGCGGTCGTATCGTTGGGAGAGGATCGTGCGGCCCTGTTGCTCTCCAAGAATATGAAACACAAAATGACCTATATATTGCCACAACGCTATAGGAAAACGACGCGGGATGGCGGTGTGCCCGCTACTGGACTTGTTGTAGCCGCTGTTGTCATCCTGCTTCCGCCGCTACCGCTGCTGCCGTCGTCATTGTCATCACTGGTGGAAACGGATGTTGTCCAGCCACATGTGCCCATGCGCGGCCCCTTCATGCCAGATATTATCCGCCTTACTGGTCGCTGTGTGCTGTGTGTCTGCGTGGCACCGTCTTGGGCACTTAGGAACGCCGCATGGCTGTGGAGAAGGGGGGAGGGGAAATCCCCTCCCGGAAATGGCGACCCGCGGCCGCAGCACAACAGAGAAAAAAGAAAGTCGAAAGAGCTATCAGTTAAAAGGCAGGCTGCTAGATTCGGACGCGAATACAGCCGAGATGCCAAATAAACGTCTTTTAAAATAGTTTTTCTTGCTATTTTGGGGTCTTGGCTGGCTGGCTGGGGGCAGGCGGGGGGGCGATGTGTTACATCATCGCTCTCAGCTCACGGCGATATTATTCTGCACGTGATTGCAGTGGATCTTGGTTGCAGCCGCAGCAGCACAAACACTGTTGGTGCTTTGCATATGGAATCATCCTGAAAAGCATCCCTTGTTGTGGTTGGGCATGTTGTGGCGTCCTGAAGGGGTCACCTGCTGTGAGTGGGGCTGTCACACCTCCACCGTGCTGTGGGATACGGTTCCCGGGAAACGCGAATGGCCCTAGGAGGGTCCTTCGGCCACACCCGAAGCGTGTTCTGGCGTGCAGGTCCTTTGGAAGCAGCGAGCATTTTGTCACACATCTTCTCTGGAATTACCGCCTTTCAGTTAGGTTGGAAGGAAGGCTAACTTGCGGCGTGGGTCTTGGGGGTCTTGATATTGTTTGTTGGGGATAGTGGTTCAATGTTTGTGGGGTGCTGCAATGGTGGCCGCGGCGGCAAGCTGTTGGTGTTGCTGTGAGGCGGCTGCACGTATGAGGTATCGTCCAGACGCTCGGCAACAAATGAAGCTGTTGCGTAGTGGGATATGCAGATGGGTGGCGTGCGAGTGAGTGAGGCGCGTAGAAAGAGATGTGTGAGCCGGGGGTGTTGCAGGGCCACGGGGGTTGGGAATCCCAACTTGGGATAGCGGCTCGCGGCTGCACCTGCATGCATATCTGTCGACCGGTCTTTGTTTTGAACTGAGGGAGATTACCCTGAGGGGGCAGGACGGACAGGACTGAGAGGTTTCGTTTTTGGGGCCGTCTTGGCTGGTCGGAGTGTTGCGCGGCGATTGAGGAGTGTGGTTTTTCGATTGAGGAGTGTGGTTTTTCCGAGTAGCCGAGTAGCCGCCTGCCATGGCGGTTTCCGCCTCCATTTCCCCTCCTCCTCCTCCTTGTCCTCGTCCTCCTCCTCTGCCACCAACTCCAACCCACCCCCCGGGGTCTGAGCGCGCGCGATGCACAATCGAGTGTAGAGGACGATGAGGGACCCCCGGTAGCAGGGCCGGAGAAAGGCCGGAGTGCAGGTTCCTCGTTGCTCTGGTTTAGAGTCGGATCGGAAGGTGCGTGATGGTTCCATGGGAACTGACATTGTTGGGAATTTGAGGCAGCATCATTATTGCGGAAGAAGAGGACAGCGGGCCACTTCTCGCGCCGGGGACTGCGGGCACTGTGAGCGACTGTGATGGGGGTCAGGCCCGGCTCTACTGCATTCCGTTGGTGCACCAAAGCTGATTCCTGTGTTGCCATGCCACACGCCCCCACATGCGCAGACTTCGAAGGTTACTTATTCATGATGGTGACGATGACGATGATGATGGTGGTGATGATGATGATGTG